AGTTGTTTCCAAATGGAAACAAACATAGATATGTTCTTTTCTTTGAATAACACAAACAATTTAATCATCTCTACTTTTTTCCTTGCTGTGGGAAATATTTATTTCTATTTGTAGAAACCCTGTGGTTGTAAAATACTATTTGCTTGCTTGATGCCTCAACTTACAAATGGGATCGCTTACTGTGCAAATTCTGATTTCTGCTGTAACTACTGTAGACTACCTGTGCGATATCGTCTCTACTTGAGTGCAAATTAAAAAGGAAAAGAAAGACACACAGGGAATGGCTCCTTAACATGTTCACCACTGAAAAAGGGACATCCTGATGACCGGAGCCAAATGTTCTTCAAAACTCAGGCACCCCAATTTTGCATTTAGCGAAGAACCTGTTCCATGAACTTGGGAGAGAAAACACATCTACCTTTGCAAAGGGGCTTCTTGGCCTCCTCAAAATACAAACTACCAAGCAATTCAGGTAAAGCAAAAAGCGTTCATTAAGAAGGGGGGAATCAAGTCTTTTTATAGGGTATAGAAGCAAAAGATACGTACATTCGGTACATGTGATACCAGTAAGCACATGATAAAACAATAAGATACAATACATTGATTGCTTGTGATGTTTGAACACTAGAAAACATTGATTCTAGCTAACATTCCACAAATGACAACATTATGGGTTACATTGCTCTTTTCCACTTAGGCTTGTATCTTTTGTGAAAGTTGCAAGTGCATCCAAGGACTTTCAGAATATGCTTTCTATTCTGTAGTTGCTGAAAAGATGAGTTCTTGAATAAGAAAGAAATGGCCTTGACTAAAAGAAAAACATGCTTTCTTATCGATAGAGAAGCAGCCTGAGCTGCCATGTTAACAGTACTAATATCACCTTTTAAAAATGTTAATAAAGAAGCCTAAAATTGGAGGCAACACAAGGACCACCCTCAGCCCCGCCCACCCCCCTCCATCCCTGCTATGTACCTAATCCTAACCCTGACCCATCCCTTATCCATGTGTTATTTTAAATCCAGCATAGATTTTACCCCAAGTCTTAATAAACCATTCAGCATATTTCTCCAATGAACAGTAATCATTGCTAGCATTATTTATTGTAGGTCATTTCCAAATTCACATTAGGTTAACTTGATTTCATGTTCTCCATTATTCTTACATGTGTAACTCTATGTGAACAGCAAAAAGAAAGGGGGGTGGGCAAACCTATAAAGTTTGTCACAGATCTCAGTACTTTTAAGTATTTAACACTTTCCCCATCTCATCTCTTTATACTCACCCATACGCAAAATGTTAAACAAAAAATACAAATCACATAAACACATTCAGAGTGCAGCTCTGCCTTCTTTGGGATCAAAGAACTACCTTTGATGTGTACTGCAGCTGACTTTGAAGGTAAGGCATGGGACTCGGAATATTCAAAATGCTGAGCATGAAGCCTGGAGAAGCCAGGCATTTCCAGGAATCAGGAGCAAAAGGGATGGAACAGAAGATGTAATGATTATGTATTCACAACAGTATCATAAACAAAATTAAATAAACTCAGGGAAGCATAAAATATTAGAAAATAAAGAGTGCAAGTGTACATTGTAAAAATAACACTAAAAAACCTTTCAAACAAAAAAAAGTAACTTCCCTGGGATATATTAATATCGTGTGTGTGTGTGTGTTTACCAGCAGCTTGAATCAAGGAGAAATTTTTTTAAAAAAACCCTCAAGCTTAGCAAAATAATGAGAAAGTGCCTCATCTTAACAAATCATGACTTTAGAACAAATAATACAATTCTTAAGGCAAACATGGCAATTAACAAATAATTTCTGCTTAATTCTGCAGGGCTCCCTATAATATAATTGTAATTATTTAATGCAATGAGGTATTTGGAGGAACTAGTCAAAGTAATGCCCAGCCTGTCTGTTCAGAGGATTCAAGCCACTTGCAAAGAACCTTTGGGTTGCTGGCAAAAAAGCAGAACTCAAAGCAAAACTCTTTTCCTTTGCTAGCAGGGAAAGTTTAATGTTATGACCAGTTGGCAAAAATCACCATTGTGAAGAATTATTCCTTTTATTTTTCATGGCCATTCCATTAGGCTGAGGTATTCAGAGAGTATCTATACAGTAAGGTCTAAAGAGGTCAAAAGTGGTTAATGCTTTGGTTCAAGCAAGGCACTCGTCCAATTTAATGTGATTTGCAACCTGTTCTCATAGTTTTATTGTACTGTTATTGAAAGAATAGTGTAAACATTATGTTGCCATTGTACAGTTAGAAAAGTAACTTTACAAATAGAAAATGCACGGTTTAGCAGCACAAGTTCCCTTTTCAGATGCAGGCTATGTGTAAAAAAAATCTTTGGTATTCATCAGTGTAATTAAAATCACCCATGGAAAATGGAGTGAGGTAGCATCTCTGTTTCACATGATAAATAGCATGGGATAACACTTTTCTTTTTTTTAATTGTAGGCATAAGTATTCTTGATTTTGTTTTTTCCAGATAACTTACAGTGCTTATTGTAAAATCAACCATATGACACAATAGTATTTTGAAAGGGAAATCTGCATAATGATTGTAAGTTTCTGAATATATCAGTACAACAGCTTGATAGAAATGTGCCATTACATTCTCTTTGCTTGATAAAGGTTGTTAAGTGAATCTGATTTCCCTCATTGACTTTGCTTGTTGGAAGCCAGCTGGGAAGGTTCCAAATGGTGATCACATGACCCTGGGACAGTGCAACCATTATAAGTACATGCCAGTTTTCAAGTGCCCAAGTTTTGATCACGTGACCATGGGGATTCTGCAATGGTTGTAAGTGTGAAAAGCCAATCATGTCACTGTTTTCAGTGCCATTTAAATTTTGAATGTCACTAAATGAATGGTTGTAAGTCAAGGACTATCTGTATATACAAACTTAAATACCAAAATGCACATTTATGCAGGTAAAACCAACTTTTAAAATTCCCTTCTTATTGCGTATTTCTTTTTGACCTATATTTGCCATGAGTACTATAATGCCACAATGACTATCAATCTTGCACTGTAAATAAAAGGTTGCTTGTTGCAATCTTGTAAAAATGTTTTTTTATAATTTTTCCCCGAGTTTTCTATTTTCCCTGTGCCTTTTTAAAATTCAGTAATGAACCATTTTACCATTTTTCTAGTCACGTGGAAATAATAACTTGTTCATGATGCACATGAAGAAGTATTCCTTCCACTATAAAGTAAACAATAGCCTGCTGAGTTAGTCTGCAATAAACTGAGAGAGAAAGAATGAATGCAGAAATGAATGAAGAATGCCAGTGTTAATTTTCATGTTATAACTTTCTGCTGACTAGATAAGGAAGTTACCTTGGCACACAAATTCCAGCATGTTCCAATATAGTAGAGATTGTCATCTGTATGACTTTCTGTGTAAGAAATGTGATGCAAACAAAGCCAAAGTTGGCTTCCTTGGGAACATGCCCTTAACATACAGATCATTTAGTGGGCATGAGAGGAGATGGTTCTGAAGCCATCCCAACATCACTGTATCTCAGGAGAAAAACCATATTGTACAGCCATCTTCTTTATCCCACCTTCATGGCGACAGACTAAACTGCAGTCTTCTTGGACCACTTGGCTGGAAATCTGATATTCCTTTGTTGCTGGGTTGTTGTCCAAGAGGCCATGCTGAAGACTTGTTTATGAGGTCTTCTCATGGGAAGTGATATTCATTTTCTTTATTTCTGTAGATATTGCAGGGATACTTCCAAATCATAATCATATTTACTTTCAATTACTGGGGAGATTAATAGTACAACAAACAAACAAACAAATAAATAATAATAAAATAATGAGTATCTTGGATGGGCTCTAGACCACTTCTTGTCAGTTTTCTGCTCAGAGCTAAGCCTGCGTTCCAGGATTTGGCATTTTAAATCATTCCAATATTATGGGCATAAACTATATAAATGCAAGCATGCATCTAAAATGGACAGCATTTGAAAGTTGGACTATAGTACACTTATGAAGAAGATTAAATATAAAAAAGATTGTCTGAGATGCAGAAAGACAACCTGAGTTTCACGTGGGTGTGAGCTATATGCTCTGATCGCTTCTGGAAATCAATGAAAAATATTTTCACAGCTACCGGTAGAATAACAGTCTTGTGTGTTGTTACTATTAATTAGTTTATCCCTAAGCTCTGCATAGAATTGAATGTAAAAATAGCTTTGAAGTAGTAAAATAATCACAACAAAATACCAGCAATATATTAAATGTCTTCTTTGGTACTATTTTGATCCTTTTGCAAGAAAACCATGGTTTGGGGAAAGATAAAGAATAGCTCTATTTCTAAGCAAAGAGAATGTAACTGGTTTGCATAAAAGTCAAAATGTCTTTACCTTCTTTCAACTTGTATTCAGAGTCTATATTGGCAGACCATCAACATAAACCATATTGTTAAAATGAATATTAATAACTTGTGGCTTTAGGCTTGTGATTGCCCTGGAAAACTTCCTTGCTACTGTTGCATCCACTAAATGTTCATCTCTGTGGTTTTGCCATGGACATGAGGAGCTATATCTGAGGACATCTATTTTGATAACAAATTATCACCATGCTCCAACATTAGATGATTAAAGACTGTGGGTTAAGTGCAAGAATGAAGGGAAGATGTAAAAATCAGTTTTCTCCCTCAATTTCCTTCTAACCTTTTTGTTTTGCAAGCCATTCTATGATTTTTTTTTATTTAGAGCGAATTCAAAATCAGATGAAATAAGTCTTTGGCTTCTTTGGACTTATAAATAATGTTAAGTATAAACCTGCTTTCTTGAGGTCCTGCTCATTTGTAATAATAATAATAATAATAATAATAATAATAATAATAATAATAATAATAATAATAATAATAATAATAATAATAATAATAATAATAATAAATTAAATGTATATACCACCCAACTCTTCAACTCTGGGTGGTTTCAAAGCTATTCCACCAAGACTACATTTGCAGCCCTTCCTTTAAGCTTTGGTACAAGTGCTAGAAGAAGAGGACAAACTGCCTGAGTCGGCACAGCCCTCAACTTGCCATTTATCTAGGCTCCTCCGTCGTGCGTTCATGAAGAAATTGCTAACGGTGCTCAGCTCCAGCCCCAACTGATGGGAAATGGTGATCTGTAATTCTTTGGAAGGACGTTTATTTTCCTTGAATATTGCATAGAGAGTTCGGCGCTGAACATCAGTAAAGACCAGTCTGGGTTTTTTGAGTGCATTTCCTCGGTCTTTCCCTTGATCTTGCTCCTTCCGTTTACAAGCTGCAATATTATGAAGAAATCACTTTCAGACTTGGGATAGATAAGAGTTAGAGGGATTTTTTTCTGATAACAATCTACTAAAAGAATTTTAATAAAGAAAGGCTGCATTTTTAAAGTAAAATGTTTACAATGCAGTCTTAAAGATACCAGAATGGAGTTCAGTCGAATTCATTCTTCACCAGTCAGGCATATATTACTAATTTTCAAGGTTTTTAGGATGTAAGTGACTGTGAATTGAATGACTATAGCCATTAGGATGGACAGGCCAATCAATATTAAGTGTGAGGAAATGGATTAAAAGGGCTGCAGTGACACATAGACCAAAACAAGGCAGTTAGGCTGAACCCCACTTTGTGAGATTATTTCAAACAGTAGTTTTGAACACATTTGTCTTAGAAAAAGCCAAAATCATACACATATTACGTTTAAAATGTGCATATATTTTCTATTGTTTAGCACTAATTTTCCACTACTCCAGTTCAATAAGACCTGACATCAATGTTCAGATCCATGAAACCATGAAGAAAATCCTGAATTAGCCCTCAGATCTTTCAAAGTTGGTCTGGTAGGAGGCAAGAATGGAGGGCTGAAATCCAGGGACATTCCCCGCTTCTCAAAGATTTTGAACATTTCCTGTACTTAGAGAAAGGTCAGATCTCTTCTTCCAAAGTTAGAGCCAAAACCATCATCGGGGAGAAACGACCTGGTCTCTGGCTCCTGGGACACTCTAAAAAGTTTTATAGGAGTCTCTGAATTGAGACTTCATTAATATTTAAACCCTATTGATTGCATGGGGCCCTGCCAGGTTTTCTCCTGACCCTAGATGAGATCCCTGCATGAGGTGCAGGGAGATTTTGCTTGGTTTTGGATTGGGTTCCAATCCCACATCTCAAACTGAGCACTGTGTCAGCTCATTAAGAGAGAAGTGAAGGCCAGCAGACAAACACAACCAGATAGAACAATTAATCAGTGAAATGGCTTGCCTTCAGAAGTTGCGTAGGCTCCAACATTGGAGGTTTTTAAGAAGAGATTGGACAGCCATTTGTCCAGAATGGTATAAGATCCCCTTTTTGTGCAGAGGTTGGACTAGAAGACCTCCAAGGTTCCTTCCAACTCTGTTATTCTGTTAAATTCTGTTAAATCATTTTCTACTTTTAAGGACAGGTTTATAACCTACAGAAAAAGGCAAGAATTATCTGTTCCCGGCAGCAGCAACAAAGCTGAGCAGCCTATTCTAAAAAACATATTTATAGCCAGAATCTCTTGAAACACACCTCCTCTTAAAGGACAAATGTCATTTCCTGCGGATTAATGACAGATGACTTTATTATGAGTACACCATTTGCCTTTGAGATGAATCATCAATCTGATCTAATGTGAAATATTTAGGAAAATCTGTTTGATATTCAAAATTAACTTTTAAATGTTCTAGTCAATAGCCACCTCCACATTTTAAAAAAGGAAAATTTGAATTCAGTTCTATTTTTTGCCACAAGTATTTCTACATGCCAATAATATTAATCACAGTGACAAGCACTATGCCTCTGGTCAGAATATAATCCCAATATAAATGTACTGATGTGCAATATTTCTCACTTTTTTATACAATTCAATGAAGCAATAAAGTTAAATAAAGTGGGCTCCCAGTTTTCCATATTACTTGCACCCGCTAGATAGCACTTCATTTCTGAAAACGAGAAAAGAATACAAGAGTCTAAAAATGAGCTTTGGAGCGGCATTTATTATAGTGCCTGGCCAGTGAACCGGGATGAAAACTACACAATTCAAGTCACTTTTGGTGACCACACTGGTCCATGTTAGGGAAATGATTACAATGTTAATACCAGGAAAAGCAACAATAAGCATTTCTCCAACAAAAAGCTTTATTTTGCTTAAAAGTGAGGACAAGGTGGTGAGTGAACATAACAAGAGTGGGCACCCCAGCTTCCTCCACTGCCTGAATGCAGCAGTTAGATCTAAAAAGCAGAGCTATCAGGCCACCAGCTGCAAGCCATGAAATCCTCTGGAAGAAGAAGACCCTGTGGTGAATAGCATAGCTCCTTTCCCAAGCAAGTTATTTCTCTGTTCATTAGGAACATCCTACACCTACATTGGGGGCCTGTATCCACAAATGGGAATGCTGTCTTGGGTCAGTGAAGCTTTGGCCTTGCCTTCTCTCTCAGAGGTGGAGGAGCCAGTCTCACAAGAGCCTCATCCAGTATTTCCTGAGGAGTTCTGGAATTCACCTCTGTTCTCCAAGGCATCTCCAGAGGATGGGCAGACAAGCATTGGTAGAGACCACTATCAAACCATCTCTGGTACATGAATACCCGCAGCATTTGAACATCTTCAATGGGGACCTAGCTCACTACACAGTCCTGACGGGGTCTCAGGTGTCTCCTTTTCTCCTTAGCAATTATATTTACATCATTTATTTATTTCCTATTAGTATTGATTTAAGATTTAAGATTTAAGATTTATTTCATTTATACCCCGCTAAGTGAGGTTTCATAAGAAGGGGCAGCCCGACCAACCTGAAGTCCTGATAGAAGCTCAGTCATATGGAGCCACCATCTCTGCTGGCTGATAATGTGCTGAAAAGGGGTGACAGAAGAGAGAGCCCATCACTTTGTAGATATGACTGGCATGCTCATAGCAATGATTCAGTAGAGACACAACAGAGGCAAAACAAAGGTTAGTTATGGGTCAACAAACATTGTTCACTCCTGAGAGAGGCTGATAGTCTAGTGGAGAAAATAAACACAGTGGAGAGGGCACCAACAAGTGTCCTCTTTTGGATATGACCAAGGTCAGGCCAAGTCCTCTCTTGGCTTAGGTCCAAATTGACCATCCCTGGCACAGCTGAAGCTCCCCTGCAATCCATTCTAAACGAAGGAATAAAAGCCTTTATTACACCCAGGCAGCCCCTAGGAGGTGGCTTGCAATATAGTAACAAGCTCAAAAACCCCAAACTTCCATCTTCCGTCAGCTGACACCCCCCAATTCCTTTGCAAGGGCTTCCCCAGCTCTCCTGCCCTCCTGAAAGGTCCATTTTGCCTAAAACTAGGAATAAACCCAGATACACAGACTAATGCTGGCAGATGTTCAGCTTTCAACTTCTATAAAAAACCTTTGCTTTTTATTGTCAGGGTCTCTCTTTCATATAAAGCTGGTTGAATAAAGAACTGGGGATTTTTCCTCAGTGTTATGCTTCTCCATACTGAATCCATGACATTCAGGGCTTAACTTAACTGTGGGGAAAGGGTTAGTTGTTTCTTGGAAAGAGAAAGATCAGCAGAAATTGTTTATGAATGAAGGCAAATATACGTGTCCCAGGATAATGTTGCAGGATCCAATCTGGGTCAGTCACTAGGACCAGAGGTTTACTCTTCCGAGCTTTTTGGATTCATGCTGGAGCCGATCCTCAGGGAGCCTCTTTCACCAGAATGTGAAAATATTTATCTCTTGGGCTGGGTTAGATCCTGCAATGAGGCCCCTCAACAATCCAAAGTGAGAGAACTCTGAATGGACAAAGGGCCTCAGTCCGCTGTACATACTGACTCATGGTTTCTCCATCAAGGTGCGAACAAGTCCTCAAGCCAAGAAAATAAGTGCCTTTGTTTTAAGAGCCGTGGCATCTTCTGACCTTGGGGAAACAATTACAGAGCACTATGCAGGACTGTTTCTCAAATGAACACTCTCTTTTATGGAAAGCTGCTTTATTTAGTAAGATATGTTGGTATCATATGGCAATTTAAATGGCTGGACTTAAGAGCAGGAAGACCCAGGTTCAAATATCCCCCAAGCCAGGGAAATTGTGATTTTGGAACAATCCTTCTCCCTGAGTCTAACCTGCCACACAGGATGGTTATCATGGAGCAAAATGAAAACCCAACTGAGCTCCTGCATAAAAGGCAGGATATAAATTTAGCTGTTAATAAATACTGATAATTAGAATAAGTTAGAATTAATACAAGAAAATTAAAAATATAATTTACTTAATATTTATTTCTTACATAATTTTCTCAGGTAAGAAGGCATTAAGTTTTTGAACACTAAAGACTTGTGGAGTATAGAGGAAATGCATTTCTTGGCCCATGAGTAGAGGTATTTATCTGACCTTATCTAGCAGGTTTCAGAGGGGTTCTTACTGAAACTGTTTATAGGATCGAATATAAAACAATCCTGGTTGCCTTTTCTAAGAACAAATGGCCAAGAAGTTGGCAGTGGCGGCGGAGTTAACGTAGGGGACCCAAACTCTGCTAAATTCCGGACGTGACGAGCCAAAGAGGACGGCGCATCGCGGAATGCCTCCGGACGCACCTTCCCTTGCAGGAGTTGCCACCGCTCGGCCGGGATGGGTTCTTGAAGGCCACCGGCGCGAGCGGCAGGACTCCAGACGAACTCGGTATAAACGCAAACACAGTCTTTGTTTGAATACCCACGACATCCACGCGGCGTTCTGCGTTTTTTCACTGAGCATTGCTCGTGCTCTGTCCTATCGGATTGCAGAAAGCAAAGGAGAAAACAGGACCCTCGTGTCCCGTCGCCCCCCCCCCTTGGGAAACGCTTCTCTGTCTTTCCTTCCCCAGGCCCTGGCAGACCCTTGGGCGGAAAAGGCCCGTTCCTGGGACATTTGGGCATCAGCCGAGAAAAGGGCGGCGAGGGCTTCTTTACAAGAAGCCAGTCGAGCGCCGTTTACTGAGGGAAGTTTAAGGGGCGCCGTTCTCCGGCCATCTGCGCCCTCAGCCCTTCACGACCGGAGGCAGGCAACGAGAACGCGCTTTAAGTCTTCCATGGGCTCCTCTGACGAACAAGGGTCGGAGCGGCCCAGGTCTGTCCTCGCCGGTGCGTCCCCTTTGAAAGTTGCCACTCCAGCGATAGTGGCCTTGCCCAAGCCCCGGTAGCCGCTCTCCTTCACACGAGACCTGCCACCGAAGTTACTTTGTGTGGCTTTCACTGCTTCTCTGTGGACCAAACTCCAACCAGGATTTCCAGCCGCAGCAGCCGAAAACAAAGAAGCCTCAGCAAGAGCAAAGCAGCTCCTGGCCGAGGAGGGCCGACTTGGAGCAGCCTTATCTCCCTTTCCTCTCAGGAAAGGAGAGTTGCTCTCTACGCCAAAAAGGGACAAGCCGCCTTCCCACTCCGAGAGCAGGAAAACTTCTTGCCGCCTACGGCCGGCCGCCGCGCCCCACTTTTCCAAGCAAACTCGGCCAACTCCCCAACGGGAAAAGAAGGTGCTTGGTGGCCTGTGTCAGAGGGTCAGCCAGGAAAATATCCCGGCCAGCCAGCCTTTCACTGCCCTACCCGAGAAATAGAATCCAGCTGCAGGAACCCGCCGCCCAGCACATCGTGGGCAGCCGTTGCTCCGGCGCTTAAATTCTGAGTCCTGGCCTCCTCTGCCGTCGGCGTGCAGGACGCGGGTGGCCTGCACCCCTTGAGGAAACCCGTTCCATCAACGTCTGGATCCAGCCAACTCCTCAGTTTCCTCTAGGCGAGGAAAGAGCCTGAGCCTGAGCCTCACAAAACTTCATTCGGCATCAAGATCCTCACTTGCGGGGCAAACATTTCTTCCCCCTACTGTTTTCCTGCTCCTCCAAAGCACAGGACTTTTCAAGTGCATGCAAAGCCTTCCCACGGCCAGCCCACCCAGCCAGACCCCCTGAAGGCGACCTACAACCATCTGGGAAGGGTTTCTGTCCTTCCCGGGAAAATTAGAAAAGCTAACCAAGCGCTACCGGACTTGACTGGCAAGCCAACTCCCACCAGCTTTCTGCCGGTCTGGAAACACTCCAGAAAGGTACCAGCAGCATTCCGTTTGGAGGCCGGGTTCGTGTGCAAGGAGAGGCGGCCCTACACTGTCGGGAACACCAGAGCAACGTCTGCAGCGAGGCCTGGGATCTCGGGTCCTCCTGCAGTCCCTGGCACTGGGCAGGATGAGGGAGGGGACTTCGTAGGCGGGCCCACCTGGCCCGCCCTCGGTTCCTGAAGGCCAGAGCCTCCTTTTCTCTCTTCCCACCGGGCGTAGGTGAGAGAGTGAGGGACGGCACGACTGTTGCCTCTCTTGCGAGGGTTCTAAAATGGGATCCCAGGAAGGTCGGCCCTACCCCTCAGCCTGTGCCCACATCGCTGCCCCTCACCTGCCAATCGGAGTGCAGACATCCGCTGGAATTCGGGCTCCTGCAGCCACTTCCACATCCTGCGAAAGGTCTCCCGCCCAGATTTGAGCTTGCTCCAGGGCTTAGGGTTCCTCAACAGGTCGGAAAGCGTTCCCTGCGAGCGGCCGAGGACCCTCTGGGCGAAGATGGCTTGCGGGATGCTGTAGCGCTTCAGCTCGGTGGTGATCCGTTGGGCCACGTCCTTGGTGTTGATCTCTTCCAGCTGCCCTGAGTGATTCCCAGCGCTCCCTTGCGCGGCGGCGGCGGCGGCGGCGGGCTTAGGTTCCCTGGAGGAGGCCTGGATCTGCCCGTGCCCTCGGGCGCTCAGATGGGTGTGAGGTTGTCGGGGGATCCCGCCAAGCGGAACCAGGCATGCTGTAGACTGGGTGAGATGCTGGTCACCCGGCCGGGCTAAGAGGGGTGGGTGCTGCGCTTCGAAGCCGCTGGGGGTAAGCATTTTCTCGGCCGGCATGGCGACTCCGGCGTCGGCGTAATGCGACAGGGCTTGCTGGGTGTTGTGGAGCCCGCCCAATGGGGAGAGAGTCTGTCCCAGGCCGGCCACTTCTTTGGGGTAGGGTGAGGGGTAAAGATTGTCGGACAAGAGAGTAAAGTTGCCCGCCAACCTGTGATGCGCTTGCGGGTGTGACTGGGGATGGTGAGGAAACTTGGGCGAAACGGTGGAGATGGGCGGCAGGGGCGGTTGCAGGGGCGTCAGAGTAGTGTAGCTGCTGCTCCCGGTCAGCCCGGCGGGACTCTGACAGCTCCCAGTCAGGGGGTGCAGCGGTCCGCCCAGCGGGGGTTCCGCGGAGCTCGGGTGATGCGCATGGGATTGGTATTCTTCCCCCCCGCCGCCGCCGCCGCCGCCATCCATAGCCATAGCCATGGCCATGGCGCCTGTTGGGGGAGCTAAGGGGTGGCCGCCGCCCGGTTGCATGCCCGACGCGCGGTCCGGAGAGCTGGCGCTCAGCTGCTCCACCACGCGCTCCACCGTCTCACGGCCGAGTCCCGGGAGTTTGCAGAGGTGCGCCATCGCCGATGACACCTTCGGGAGGACCGGGCGGGCAGGCGCGTGGGCCGCCCATGCATCAGGGCCGAGGACGCGCACTGCTCCGTTGCCCGAACCAAAACAGGAGCCGGGACTTCGCGTGGCGGAAACCCGGCGGCTCTCCTGAAGAGGCGCGGCGCGGCCCGCCTGGCCCTCCTCCGGAAGCCCCGCGGCTGTCCTAGTGTGGTCCCCGCCGGGGGGCCCGCCGCCTGCCCGGCGCTCTTCAGCTCTGGCGCCGCGCTCTTTCTGCGGAGGTTTGGACACGGAGCCCGCGGTTGGTGCAGCCCGGGCGGGCGGCTGGCGGGCATGCGCGTTGAGGCTCCCTCGGCCCCGCCTCCTTTTCGGCCTCGCTCTCCCGTCGGCTGCGAGCGCGCGCGCCCGGTCACCCGGTACTCTCGACAGCCGGAGCCTTGCGGGGTTGGGGGTTGAGCGGGCGCCTGGCCCTCCGCCTCTACTGGGAAGAGCCCGGCGGGGACGGAGCTCGGCCGGCCTCTGCTTTCTAGAGCAGGGTGGCGGCGGCGGCGGCGGCGGCGGAGCGATTGCAGGACGCATTTAGGGCGTTGCGGCCGCCGCTACCGAGCAAGCCGGCAGTACGCCCGGGGGCTGCAAGCCCGCCCCGTCCCTTGGGCGCATTGTCCGCCTCACTTCCGGCTTCGCGGAGGACAAGAGGTCGGCGAGGCTGGGGCGGGCAAGTGGAAGCCAAGGCAGAAGGGTGGTCCTCGCAGAGCAGACTTTCGCTCATGATGGCATTTTCCCGCCTGGCATTTCTTCGCCCCTGTTTGGTTCGGCCAACAACCCTGCCGGTCAAGGCAGGTGGTGTGAAGCCCAAGGCGCATCCCAGGTCATCGGAAGTGTAACAAGTTTAACCAGTAAATACATACAATTTTATTGCGCCCCTGCTGGAATCATAGCTGGCAGCGACCTTCCAATCCAGTTGCTTTACTTCCCCTCCAGTTCCTCCTCAGGCATATCCACTCCACGCAGACTTCCAGACTTCGACCTTTGTCTTCCCCCCCCCCACACACACATCTTAAATAACCAGTTCAAGCTCCCCAGCAAGGGTGAGGGAAGCTCGGCTTGGTTCCTCATACCAAGTCTTTTGGGAAATGCAAATGAATTGTACTTTTCAGAAATGGCGTTATGGAACTTTAGTAAGGTACATGCTGCTCTAATTCTTCATCAGGAAGAGCAGGAACCACTCAGCATTGCTGCTCTGCAGTGATTATCTGATGACAATAATAGTGTAAATAAATCACAGACATAAACACACACCCCTGAAGTGAAGGCCAGGGCATTTTACATACTCATTGCATTTTACATACTCATTGCTCAAAATTCTGCAAATGGTATTCCTGTTCCAGGAGTGACTGAGCCTAAGCTATGTCTCATCCAAAACCCCATGAATACAAAGCCATGAAGTGATGGGGACAACAGCATCAGGACTGGCCCAAAGCATTTGGCAACCTGAGCCAAACCTAAGGTAAACCCTTCCCTTAGGCTTCTAAGCCACAATGATGTCCTGGAACACTGTTCTCAGCTTCCCACATTCTGTCACTCAAGTCTGCAATAGGCTTACAGGACTTCACTGTTGGAACAATTTAGTTTGCAGAGGTTTCTTGATTTGGTTTCATTTCATGAGTTCTAGTGACAGCCTGAAAAATGAGAGTTACAGTATTTAGTGATTTGGAATTCAATGAAAGCAATGCCAAATACCTTGGCCTAAATGCAGATGACCATTGATTGTCCATCATGCCCTACAAGACTCAGCAGAAATAGTTTTTAAAAGGAGCAAAAAGACCTATCACCTGTCTGCATTTGTCCATGATAGTTGTATCTTTTCCCTGGACCATGTTGCACTTCTCTGCAGTCATCTTGGGAAAATATAGTTGCTTTAGAATTGAAGGGAAATGCAATTCACATACTTCTGCAGTCCAGAACCCCCTTTGGAATAAAATCAGAAGAACTGAGCAGCCCCAATCATCAGGCTATCTCATGGGATGAAATCAGAACTGTCCCACAATCTTGATCCCCACTTCAGGTCCCTCCAAAGAGTCAGATGACATGGGAAAAGGTGTGCCAAAACCAACCCCTTCACTTTCTTCAAGTTGTCATTCAGCTTGCCAGGATAACCTGCTTCAAAGGGACCAGAATAACTAAGTGGTTCTTGCATGAAAGCTGCAGCTGGAGGGGCTCCCAGGGGAAACAGCTGCAAGGGTGATCTTCCTGCAGCTTTTCTTAAGGTGGGCCAAGCAGCTAGGAGAGGAATATGGCAAGGGATTAGAGCTGTGATTTTCCACTGAGAACTGAGGAGGAAAGGGAAGGAGACATGACCTGACTTAGAGCTCTAAAAGTTCTATGGTGCAGCCAAGAACCAATATGGAAGTTTCATATTCTTGGGCTATAGGAAAGAAAACTGCATATGTAACAACTTAGTATAATAAAGTTTGAAGTTAGAATAACACTCTCTCTCAACATTTGCCTGAATAATGCTTTGCATAGCTAAAGGCACTACACAACAGAAAGCATCAACCACTAGTTTCACCAGGACCAAAGGAAGTGAGTTGATTTTTAACTGAACCCTTCAAATTCTGTGCTTGGATCTATTGATGCTTATGTGTAAATGGGCTTTGGCCAAGAGGCTGAAATGAAGAACAAAGCAGCAGAAGGTCCAGCTTGCATTAATAGTTAAAGCAGAGATGATAGAACGTGTGCTCCTATGAGCATGGTAGTAAAGCTCAGCCATAGAAGAGAACAAATACAGACAAGGAGGATAGATGAGGTATGCAAACAAATGTGTTACAGCATGATTTTTCTCCTCCCACTGGAAATTAAGGCTACATTTCCACTAATTCCACTACCTACTAAATTCCATTGAACATAGCAGAGCTTACTTCCAACAGACATGTACAGTGTCCTACTATACATTATGCCACTGTAGTCATTAGATAATGGTAGTGATAATAAATGCAAATATAGAATTGTATAAACCAGATGGATATTAAACATTGATATAATATATTGTTACTATAATACAAGAGTAGCTTCCAAGTCTACAAAAGTTGAAAGAATGAAACTTTAAATTGTTTTTTAAAAACACTGTAAGAAGCCATGTCTTTTAAACTTAGAAAAATCATAGCATAAAAAAGATGTTTACACATATTTACACCCTGATTTGCATGCAGATCAAGACAACATGTGTCCTTCTATTTTGCCCACAACCGCCACCTATGGGCTAGGTTAACTCAGAGGGAATGTCTGGCCCAGGTCACCCAGGAGCTTCTGTGGGGGACAGTGGACCAGAATCAGGCCTCCTCACTCCTAGTACAGAACTTTAATCATTATAACACACCTGTTGTAAGCAGGTGTGTGACAAGTGAAAAGTGGGTGGTGACAAGTAACAACCTTTAAACCCAATATGTAACAAAAAGCCATATATCATGAGAGTGAGATTTCAGCAGGAGGTGAGCATCAAGACATTTGAATGATCCAACAGAGGTTAAAGCCCAGGATCCCTAAAGATGAATAGCCAGGAAATGAAACACTGGGAAAGGTCATCTATTGGTATGGACCATGTTCTCATAAATATGCTAATGATTCCTAGCTATACATCTTCACCCCAGACTAAAGAGTTATGATGCTTGGAACTTGCCAAGAACCAGATTCAGCCCAAGCAAACAATTGGCTTAGAACCCAATTGATTTTGGGGTGACACCAACTTTGACTTTTGATGGGGTTGTGTTTTTCCATTAAGAGAGTAACCTCACAATTTAGTCTCATACTTCCTGCTGGAGGACATGATGAAGGCTGTGGCAAGGAGTTCTTTGCCCAGCTTCATCTGGTATTTTAGTGTGGCCTAGAACAGAACATAGTAAAACAGTTGCTCAGTGTTTTCACCTCAGGATTCAGTTACTGCAATTTGGTCTACCTGGGAATGGGAGCATGAAGGACAGTGCTGTCACATAATTCTGTTGCTACAGGAGCTGCCCTAACTACCAGTTGGTTTCTGAATGCAATTCAAAATACTGGATAGGACCTGGGTAGATTTCCATTGTGTCAAATAAATTCTGTCAACTGACTAGGTAAATGGAAGCATCTACTGAAGGTCCACTCCTTTTGAGAAGTAAGACTGGAGGAGGCTTGGAGAGTTCTTGGTGGCTGCTCCCTTCCTTTGGAGCAGCCTGTTAAAGGCCTCTGTTGTAATGGTCTTTCAGAGAATTAACTTCTGGTTTTTCCAGAAGGCTTTTGAAGAAAAATCCACACCAAATATGGAGATATTATTATTGTTACTGGTTTATGATTTTATATGCATCTTACATTATCACTCTATATTGTACTGTGAGTGACTTTAATTTATACATCTGCTAGTACTTTAGAGAAAATGGTCTAAAGTTTTTAGTGAATAAATAAATCATAACATTTATTGAAAACAATGTGAAATTAGTATAGCATACAACTCAAGAAATGACAGGCAAAGTGTAGACCCTGATCTCAATATAAGACCAATTTCATCTGACAAGAAATATATTAAAAGTACAATACCTATCCACCCACAATCTATTACAACTCTGGGTAGCTGGGTAATTATTGCTGCACAAAATGCAGCAATAAAATACTGTAAAATAAACAATCAGATGTCTGAGACGGGGAGCAATCATTTAACACCAGAACATCAGAAAGAGACCGTCACCTGCACTCAGCCAAGTTCTAGGGATACAGCCAAGTTTTACCAATTTTTTAAAAATAGGACTGGAATGGGGCAGGCTATGACTTTCTGCATCCTGTACTTTAGAAGGAAAGTTTTTTTTTATTATTATAATAAAAAAAGAAGGAAAGTTTTCTTGTGATGGTGACAGAGAATAGCTTGTGTTTACAAGACAGCATGTTTAACCATGTGTAATCTCATTAATTGGTGAGTAGTAATGCCAGCGATGCTAGTGCCAATGTCATAGTATAGTAATAGGACAGAGTCTTGTAGGCTGTGTGAA